AACTTTGCCATTTGAGTACTCTGTCTGAGGAATGAGCCTGTCCATGATAATAGAGGGTCACTAACTCCAAATGACTGAAGCTTCAGAATTAGCCGATTATGAAGCGCTTTATCAAATGATTTTTGAAGTCAAAAAATAGAGCAGTTGCGAAAAGACCTTCATCTCGTTCGGAGGTGGTTTCCCCAAAGTAATCCGGTAGGCAAGCACTGCATGAACGACCTTTCAAGAATCCATGCTGCATAGAGGAAAGAGGCCGACGCGCAATCACGGACATTAATTTCTTGCGCAACCACCTTCTGCATAATACGAGAGGCTTCAGGTGTAGTATTTATGGGATGATAGTTTGGAATATCTGACGTCCGGCCAGATTTATACGTGGGAGATATGTATGACAGCTTCCAGCAATCGGGGTGGCATGCCTTTGTAAGGGATATTGGAAAAGCTTCGTAAGGATGAATGGTATGTCTTCACCACCCCTTTTTAGAAGTACAGGTGGTATGCTATCGGGTACGGTAGTGTATGAGCCCTGTAAGGAAGCAACTGCACCAGCTGTCTTTTTCTGTGTAAAGAAAACATTACCTAGCGAACAGTGTGGTGGAACGGGCATTCGTATGTCTGGTACACTATCCTCTTGTGTGAAGCAGCTTTCATGATGATTACCAAACAGCTCACAGATCTTGCTTGGATCATCATAAAGAATGTCCCCATCAATGATCAGACCACTGCGGATTACTGTAGATAAGTTTGCACGGGATCCTAGAATTCGCACTAGTGATTGAACATTGCTAGTTTGTGCATTGTCTCCAGTTTCTTGCTTGAGTGCGTTCAGAACCCTATTTGATCTTGAGTTCTCATGAGCAATTTTTAATGAGACAAGGCATGAAAAGCCATTACATCGATGGAAATTTCTGGCATGTCTGCTCATGCCGATACGTTTTCTGGGATGAAAGTCACTTTCAGCTCCCTAATTACTACTGATACCTCCGGGGCAGTATGATCGTGAATTACATTCATGGAACTATAGGGAATACCACTTAGTCCGTGGGTTGAGGTACTGGTGAAACAAGAACCCCGGTCCAAGTACCGCAACATGTGCTGCATCTCTTCCCAGATGATATTTTTGTATCTTCTAACTGTGGTTGTTTTTTTCATCCGGGAGCTGACGTAGTACTGGGAGATAGTCGGAATTCGAAAAATACTACTCTCTGGTCGTTGCCCGGGAATTCGATATTGAGTTGGTGAAGACGAGGTCAAGTATACTACTGTGTCTAGTTGGTTGCATTACACGCTGGCGCCATCCCCTAGAATCCAACATATCAATAAAATTACCAGGCCACCCAAGAGAGGTAAGTGACTGCCACTTGATGTTAGGCATATTAAAGTCTCCGCATAAGTTTCACGGAGAAGGGTGTTGTTGTTACAAGAGTGAACACTTCTGCAAGCCTGTCATCATAGTCCTTAGCAGAGCAAGGTGGACGGTAGATACACCCTAAGAGGATAGTTATAGCATTTGGGCGCTTAGTCACAACTCCCATGGAGTCACTTAGCAAATTAAGTTCCGCAACACTGCAATTTGTTGTACCAATTTCGGACCTGATGTAAATGGTGTAACCACCACCTCAACCATTATGTCTGTATTTCAAGAACGAAATCAGTACCCGCCCAACTGCAAAATGGATACACAGACTTACAATATTCCGCGATGCTCTACGAAGAGGCAAGAATGTGTTATTTAAGGTTCTATTGAAGAATCATTACTCGATGCAGTAGCTAAAAGATAGCATCAAGAGGAAGCAACAAAGGTTAGCAGCAGGGGGGTCGGTGAGAATATAAATACAGGGGGATAGTAATACAGCCACACAAGATGGTGCTTCAGAGGCAATCGGAATAAAGCTTATGGTGGCTGGCATTTTCACAGCATTTAAACCAGTAATTCTAATAAAAGATAGATTGGAGTGACTTAATTATTCGGTTGGCAGTTGGAAGATGATAATGTGCTGTATAAAATATCGTGCACAGACAGCCCAATAAGCTGTTGAGTGTAAACATCAAGATAGTTGAAAAGCAGATTGAATGAACACTAAAGATGTACCGAAGGTCAGCCAACAGGGGGGCAAAAGTGCAAGAAATTAGAAAAGACTCATCGAAAGCAGCCCACGTGTCATTGACTAGAACAACACCACCATGCCGAAGTCCAAGAAGAACAAACGAGATGAAAGGTTAACGACAGAGTCGATGTTTATGCGTATCACACCAAACACATGCAACGAAGTTGAGTCAGCACAACTGTCGACCATATGGGAAGCTCGACTGAACAAACAGGCCGGTGAAGACTCAGGAAAGACCACTTATTTGGCACCTACCGATCAGCGTGTGAATAAGCATTGTCAAAATGCTCCAGCGTATGGTTTGAGTACGGGCATCGATTTTAATCGAAATGTTACCAAAAGAAAAGCTTGTCGTTGTGTGGACTTTTCAAAAGACTGCTCGCGATAAGCTTGCTTTTGTGCAGCTGAAGAGGAAATTGATTGAATTTGTCACCCCTTTATTGTGATAATTCTACAGCGGGAAACCATACCAGGGGTTAATTTTACGACAGCGGTGGTGAGTACAAAATATGGGTCACTTATCACGCGCGAAAATACTGAGGTAACAAGAGCAGAGGAAAGTGATGCAATACCAAAGTTTATGCGCCGCAACTAGAAAAGTAAAAAGTCATTACTACGGTATAATACATGAAAATCAGGTGTGCGTGTGTAAAATTATCCACCATTCCTCAGTTTGCTGTCAATATTCGGTAGCAATGGAATCAGTTACCATTCATTATTTTAAATCTTATCTATACAGTCGTCCTCTCGTAATCGAGATCATCGCTGTCTAAAATTCCATTATCTTTATTTCAATAATACGGTCCTGAAACATAATCTTCTAATCTACATTCCCTTACTCACAGCCTTGTTTCTAAATTTATCGCAATCGACTGATTGTTTCCTAATTTAAAAATTGTCCTGGTGCGAACTTGACAGACACAAAGGCCAATCACTAATTATTCGAACCTGTTATGTACTCACGAATACGAGACCAAGGAGGAACACGATAGCGTAGTCGGATGGAATAGGATATTTGGGTGGTTGTGCCAAGATACCAATGCGTTCCAACTAACTGGCTAGAGAGCCGATTACGAGCAGTGCAATGTAACACGACAGCGTGCCAACCAGCGAGGATGCTTGACCAGGTGCCTGCAGCTTAGCGGGTCCTGTTAAACTATCAAGGTCAGTATTAATGTTGAATGTCGTCGAACCCCAGGCTATTGATTTTGGGGAGGTGTGTGACGCTGCAGCTACATGAAACGAAGTTTATTGAGTATTCTGAAATTTGGAGTCCGGCGATGGTCTATTGTAGACTTCGGACCCAATGCACACAATTCAGGTACTTTGGGCACACTTACAAAACTTTGACTAACTCGGGATTACTGCTTCCACCTTGGATAGCGTCTGAAACTACCAATAACCTTGAAGATGTACGACAGACGCGTCCTGGTAACGGTTTTCCTAGGCCTGACTTCATTTTCATACAGACTTATTCCTTGTAGACGGTTCTATGCCTGAAGTGTGAATATATACTACTGGAATTAGAAGCGATCACTGTCAGCATTGAACCTGCTTTTAATACACCGAAAATACCAGCTGGTGAGCAACGTTTGTGTTTGCTGCATCTACCAGCTGTTGATAGGTTTTCGTCTAGACAGGTAAGTACCTTGTTGCAGGGGGCACGTAGGACAGTGTGAGTTTAATGGTGGTCATGAGAATCTGGAAGGGAATAGAGGAAGAGAATAAGTCTAGCCGATGACTCAGCAAGTACAGAGGATGTACTTATATCTAATTATAGATAATCGACAAACAGTAGAGCTTGAGAACGAAGAGCTGATGCGGTGTAGAAATGGAAACTAGAAGGTGAATGGATAAGATTCCGAATGCGTTACATACATATCGTAGTGGTGGACTTTTCTTGAGAGATGGAGGCAGATTCGAAAATAGAAAGCGGATGCTGGGTGAAGTCTAACGTTATCTCAAGGTGTTGTGTGAAAATACACATTTCCTGTGTTTTGTAAGCGTATGTTTTGAAGTAGGAGCTGCAGACGTAGATCCTTTTTGCTGCAATTTGAAGGGTCAGTTGACTCTGATCTGTGAGCACCATTCTTCATGAATAAATAACCTTCCAACTAAAAGACGAAAGTCCAACCAATACTTTGTGGATGAATAAACGGCATGAAACATGATTCAGTGGCAGAGGGCGTTTTTGAAACTATAAAAGTAGATAAAATAACCCTACAACATATAGAGAATGGGCTAGTTGATGTACCGAACTCATCCCATAGCAAGCACGATAACACATAGGGGTAACTCCCAGCCCCACAAAGCGTATGTGTGCTTTGTGGACAGACGTTGGGTTTCCTGTACTGATAACGTTTTTGCAACTGATGTACTCTATCCCGTCATCTGCTTGTCCATAAAGCTCATTCTGTTTGACTTCCTGTTATGTTCAGTTAGACGTGCCTGCCGTTCGTTTCACCGCAGTGTTACAATGTGTATAAACCGCGATAGTGAGTTGACGTTTTGCTAACGCTGTTTGGTGTTTAAGCAAGTTTTGACGGAATATTGACGACTTGGGAGTTCTGCAGAAGTGCACGAATCAGACTTCCTAACACTCCAGACTTCTCCCTAGGAAATTATTTACTCGTTATATAACAACACATTTGTCGTTGATAGTTGTGAATAAATTCCACAGAATTCTGAATTTTCCGAAGTGCCCGGGAATTTCACCAATTTTCTTAAGATGCCTCGCATGATTCAAGATTTTGATTACCTTAGTCTACCAGTACTACGGTAAGCAATTGAATGATCAGGAATTCACCAAAATCTTGTGATCTTTCGGCGAGTTCAAGAAATGAGCAGGGAGAAATGAATTAGGGTATAGATGATAGTTAGTTTTGTATTAGACATTGATAGCCGAGGCGCTCAATACAAAGTGTTTGCTCCAGTGAGATTCTGGGATGGATATGGTAAGTAATTTGAAGTCTGGTGTTTTCATTTGTTAAAGAGTGTGCCTAAGATTTCACTGTACTCCATCTTTTCACAGAAACATCAAGCACAGAATCATAATGGACTTGACTTATGAGTTGCCTGAATGTAACTTGTAACCGCAAAGAATGCTTATGTAATTACTAGACTAATGCTTTCGCGCCTGTGGTTCTGCGGAGCATTAAGAGGTTTTTAGCTCGGATGGATGAATTTATAGACTTCAGGTGTTTATGATAACGATCTACATGCTGCATATTGATCACGCATGTGCAAGTTTGCACATCATGATTAGTTGGCAACAATCGGAGTAATAGGATATATAGGCTTTTGTTGGCGATTTGCTATACTCATACATAGCGTAAGCAGTCACGGTGTAGTGGTAATCGTTCAAGGAATCGGATTTCAACTTTGTCACATTCCTGAAACCTACCTGAATAACACCACCATTTGTCTATGATTGTTTACAGTAACGTCATCCGGATTACCAATGGCTGGCTTTGTCTACGGACTTAGTCAGCTTCGTTCTAGACTGCCACCAGAACTTGCTTGCTTCAAAACTCCACAGATGTAGTGTGATTGTAATAAAGTAAAAAGGAAGGCTATTATAATGGATCTCATATGCCATAGGAAAATGCCTTTGGAAGTAAGTGGATGGGTGGAGCGTGAACACAGGGTATGTAAACAACTGACTTATGCAGAGTAAGATTACATTACTTAACTCTATAGGATTTTCAGCTGTATGCAGCCTAAATGGTGGAATAAATAATCACTGAGATTTCAGCATACTGTACATTTAAAATCTCCGGGCGTAAGTTCGTGTTTTCGGGCAGAAAGGCATATGAATATCACAATGTAAAAATATTCGGGATTTTGATATTTGAACGAGTAAAGGTAGAGTAAAAGGGGAATATCGAATTATTTAATAACGATATAAGTAGATTCAAGCAAATAGTCCCGTGGAAGTTATGTAGACAAATAGTAATCGAATGAAAAAACTATCCTAGTAAATGCAGTAACAATGAGGAACTAGTTAAAATCATGGTGATTAGTGTTGAGTCGAGGTGGGCGGTACGTTGACTTGAGATATTTTCAGTGACCGGAACAGTAGTAAGTTGATAACTGCCTCAGAATGTTAAGTTAGTGGGATAAGTATGGGTTTGGCGAATTGTTCAAGTAATATGAATCCATTTGGTTCTGTTGGCAGCTAATTACCTGTATTTATTGCTCGAAGATATACAAATTTGGTTAGAGATGAAGAACAGAGCCTCACAAGCGTCTCAGCGTGCAGCTTTAAAAACAATAGTTATAACCGTTGATAAAATCTTAATATGATGGGATGAAGTAACAGTCGTATAACGTGTATATTTTCATTTGTTGAGTCATCATCTTAAGTATTAGTAAATCACAACTCATATCAAATCTATGAAGTCAAACTACCATCATAGCAAAATAAAATAGAACTTATAAAAACCGTTGTATAAGGTGTATATTTGCTTGCTTATTCGTGGCGTAGTATATTAAGAGTCATGTCTCAATGTTGTGTTGTTACTCTGATGCTGACGGCAATCGTCGATTAGTATCCGGACCCTTAACTGATAAGTTTTAATCATTGCCTTCAAGTAACGTTATGTTCCCATAAAAGTACGAGAACGAAAGCGGACATTCGGTACTACAATCAGGACGCTTTACACTGAGTGTACATTTAAATAGCTTGTCAAACCGTGATTCCAAACCAGTGGTACATATGCGCCACAATCCAAAATATAGGAAATGCTCATAAGCCTCAGTCATCACGTCATAAGAATCCTATAACTCAGATTGCTCCTCTGCCTTTTGAACCACATACCTCCAAAGGCTTGACGGGCGACCACTTAACGTAACCCCGTGCTTCGGTCTGGGCACTCGGGTAGCATCAAAGCCCACAGAATTAGCGAACTAGCATTAAAAACTAAGAACATTAAGCATTCAAATTATACCGCAAGAAAAAGATTCCATGTGTAACAACCTTTCCACCAACTTACTCTAAGATACGCACAAAATCCACGTAGAACCTAGCACATAAGTGCATAAGTTCATGTTACCACACTTCATAGCAAAATACAAAGTGCAAGTGGCTACAAAATGACTGATATCAAAGTTGACAAAAATGTATGGGAGGAGAAACAATTTGAACATAAAGGCCGGTGAGAGTATTCAAGCCTTAGAAGACGTCAAAGAGTGAAAACAACTGTGACATTGCGATCGATTTTAAGCCATGTCAACAACCATCTCCAACCATACATTCTTATCATTTCGAGGAACCCAACCAGTCAGTCTACATCTGCCCACATGGCTCAGACCAACATAGAGATTCCATCGACTGGCATCACGACTTGTTCTGGCCTTCCTGAGCCCTCTTCCAACCAAATCCAACTTACCCCACCATTACACTTCCAAGTAGGCTGTGGCTCGGCATGTGCAACACATGTCCAAGTCATCTCAATTGCCGAAGGTTTACCACCTCATCGACGAACTTGCCTTCCTTGCCTAGTACTTCTCACCTAACCTTGACAGTGCTCACACGGTGGTGTGGTTCCATCAAACGCAAGCAATGTTATAAAGACACCTCTGTTCGAAAATCTATGGTCTCCCTATTTATTCTAATTTTAACGGCTATGTCAGGCAGACATATAGCTCGACGGAACAGTCTGCAGCGCAACGTACTCGTGCTTTAGTAGGTAGTCGGACATCATGCTAATCGGCGCCGGATGACGCAAGTTGGCAAACACTAAACGAGCATTCTGAATCTCAGCTGACATTTCGTCAGCAACCAACCCGTTCGGGCTGATGCAACTCCCCAAGTGGGTGGAATGGTTGACCCATTCAACCACTTCACTGCCCATTCTTAAAATAAGAATAGCTGCAGACCAGTCCAGATATACCATCCCACATTTGACACGTGCGAAACGCATGCCCAAAATAGACAGGTTTCTGCTCGATGCGCTCAGAAGACCCTTCATTTTGTCAGCGTCATTACGTAGGAGAACAATGTTTTCTGTTTACCCGAAGTCATCTGCATTCCCTCCTCGGGGTAGACCAATCTCTGTGAGGTCGGAGGAACCTAAGGCTTTTCATCATCATCAATATCAACCCAGGACCAGGCATTACTGCGTAACGGTCCGAGTTGCCACACCTCATATCAGTACATCAAGTAAAAAGTCAATGAGGCGCAAGATGAAGATAATAGTGCAGTCAGAAAAAATATGAAGTACGAAAAGAGAGAAAGGAAGAATGAGAAAGTGGTGAGATTCGGTATAGCGTCGTTATATGAGGATAATGTATGTATACATCTGAGCCATATCACCTAGAGTCTTCAACCACTGGTTTCTCTTGTCCAGCAGGCTTCAACCACCTAGTCTGCATCGCCCCACATGGCTCAAACTAACAGTCAGAGACTTCATACATTGTGTCATGTTTTAGTCTGGCCACCTCTGTCCTTTTTCCAGCCTAAACCTACTTCAGCCAACATTGTGTGACGTGGCAAGTGGCGACTAGGCATACGTAACACGTGTCCCAACCATCTCAATCGATGAAGGTTCACAAGCTCGTCAACCGACTTACCTGTTCTCCCTAAAACTCTACTCCCGACTTCTGCGTTACTCACATGGTGACACCACGGCATACGGCCTATGGTACGAAGGCAAGGGTGGTCAAACACTTGAAGCCAGCCTTCTCATGTCTTCCACCTTCAATGGCCATGTTTCACAGTCATACAGTAGAACAAACTGGACTGCTGTGCAGTACACGTGACCTTAGTAGACAATCGGATTTCACGGTGGCGCCAGAGGTGGCGTAAGTTGGCGACAGTCAATCGAGCCTTTTGTATCCGTGCAGAGATTTCATCGGCTAATCCTACTTCCCAGTTAAGTGAAGTGGTCGACAGACTCCACTACTACACTCTCTATTGTTAGCCGCGGTGGGGCACCGTTGAAGACCAATCCTGTAGCAACAATTTGGATTTGGGTGTAAGAAACGCATCCCAAACATCCTCAAATTGCCACTCAAAGTGTTCAGAAGACTCTGCATCTTGTCAGCGTCTTCACTTAACAGGACAATGTCATCTGCATATTCTAGGTCTAACGAAAATTCTCCTGCGATTAGGTCAACCTCTGTGTAGTCAGGTGACGAGATGGAGACCTCCATACGAATATCTATGGTCAAATTGAATAAGAATGGAGAGAGTGGACACCCTTGACGGACACCACTTAATGAGCATGGCTCCCTGGACATCTCACCATGGGCTGTAGCACGCCCACAAGTGTTCGAGTAGAGCCTTCAATAAGGTGATGTACATACTCGGCACGCCTTTCAGTGAGAGACATTGCCATAAGACTTGTCAATCAACGGAGTGGAATGCCGCCTTTAGGTCGAGAAGTACAGCTATTGTCGGGCGTCGGTAAGCGTGTCTACGTTCCAGGACCTGGCGCAGTGTGAATATTTGGTCGATACATCCGCGGCCAGGTCTAAAGCCTGCTTGGTTTTTTCGGGTTTGTTGTTCCCGAGCTCCAATCAGGCGTCGAAGAATTATAGAACCTTGGATCTTAGACACTATGTTCGTCAGGCTGATTCTTCTGTTGTGGTTATCACAAGAGGACTTCTCGCCTTTCTTGAAGACTGGGATGATGAGTGACTTAGACCAGTCAGAGGGGACCGTATTTGATTCCCGTATACTGGTTAACACTTCTGTTAACCTGACTAAGACCACCTTACCATCATCCTTGTGTACCTCTGGAGTTAGTTTGTCTGGTGCTACCGCCCTTCTTCGTTTCAGGTTACTTACTGCTTTCTCGACTTCTCCTAGTGTTGGGGTGCCTCACTCAATGTTCCATTTGGGATCCGACTGGATAGCAGGCAATGCAATGGTGTCTGGAGGTGAGTTAAACTGTTCCTCGCAGTGTTTTGCCTATCGTTCGAGTCGTCTCCCCTGCGAGTGAATCACAGA